TAAGACTTGTGGACTTCAACTCCCAGAATTCCTCAGCCAGCAAAGCTGGCTGAGGAATTCTGGGAGTTGAAGTCCACTAGTCTTAAAGTTGCCAAGGTTAGAGACTTCTTGCCTTTGAAAAAAAAGCTTTTTTGGAGGGGATATGTGGGCTGAATGGCCCTAATGCCTGACATGTGCCCCATAAGTAGGTTGGCCGTTGGCACCCCCAACTCTCCTGCCCTTATGGCCGGCGTTGAATAGGGGAATATGGGAACTGAAGTCTGCCCCACCCCCACTACTGAATAAGGCAGCAACCAGTAACATCTTAAAAACACAGAATTAAAGTTAGTTATGCTTTTTTTGGATGGGGTGGGAATAGAGAAGCTTGTGGGTCTCCTCAGCTTTGGTTGTACAGCTTGCCATCAGCTGGACTCAGGCGAATGTAATATAGTGTTATAAGCACCCTGAGTTCAATGTAGTACATTGTTTGGCAGCCACAGTTGTAGTTCAGTTATTGACACTTAGAACCGCTTATTGTGGGTAGCAGAATATCAAGAATTAACTGGCATTGGAATACATTATGTGTATTGGGGCAAAATTTGGGTGCAGTTCCATTGCCACACCATCATCCTATTCACTATCATAAAGTCGAATCCCACCCCCGGTTATTCCAGTAGTTTATTTAATTCAATATAGATGCTCTTGAGTTTTGACAGTTTACAAGGTAAGAAACAGTTAAAAACATAGTGCAAAACAAAGCAGGATCTGGTGCTTTATTTAAAAAAAAAATCATAGATGTAAACATTCAATAAAGGGCTCTGTCCAGCATAGCTCAAGGCCTAGAAGAACAGCCATATCTCTTCAGACTTTCAGAGGGTGGGAACAGAAGGCACCATAATAGAGCAGCACACTTCTTGGATACCAATAGATGCACTGTTTTAATTGAAGGGATCCAGAGTGTGTCAACTCAGCTGGCTGTGTACTAGCTGGGCAAAAACCATGGGAGATAGGTGGTCCCTGAAGTAATCTGGTTTTGTGCCCTGCAGGGTAACATAGATGATAAGCAGCACTTTGAATAGCACCTGGTATCAGTGATAAACAATGCAGTTCGCAAAACAGAGGTGTCATGGGGTTCCATTGAGGCTTGCCCATCACTGCCAGCATCATTGCATCCTGGACCAGTTCAAGCTTTTGAAGGGCAGACTCAAGATATACAGCATTGTAATAAGTTTGCTATGAAGTAACTTGGACATGTTTGTGCACTACACACAATCTCCAGGCACCAGTAAAGGATTTCAATAGTATCACTATTTGACATTTACATCTCTGGGTTATATCATCTCATGTTTAGGGTTGAGAGCTATAATTGGGCATCATAACCCATTTGTAATACTGAACTCCAAAACCTGCAGAAGATCTCATCAAATGCTTTATGTACACTGCTCAAAAAAATAAAGGGAACACAAAAATAAGACATCTTAGATCTGAATGAATGAAATATTCTTATTAAATACTTTGTTCATTACATAGTTGAATGTGCTGACAACAAAATCACACAAAAATTATCAATGGAAATCAAATTTAGCAACCCATGGAGGTCTGCATTTGGAGTTACACCCAAAATTAAAGTGGAAAAAAAACACTACAGGCTGATCCAACTTTGATGTAATGTCCTTAAAAGAAGTCAAAATGAGGCTCAGTAGTGTGTGTGGCCTCCACATGCCTGTATGACCTCCCTACAACGCCTGGGCATGCTCCTGATGAGGTGGTGGATGGTCTCCTGAGGCATCTCCTCCCACACCTGGACTAAAGCATCCCCCAACTCCTGGAAAGTCTGTGGTGCAACGTGGCATTGGTGGATGGAGCGAGACATGATGTCCCAGATGTGCTCAATTGGATTCAGGTCTGGGGAACGGGCGGGCCAGTCCATAGCATCAATGCCTTCATCTTGCAGGAACTGCTGACACACTCCAGCCACATGAGGTCTAGCATTGTCGTGCATTAAGAGGAACTCAGGGCCCACCGCATCAGCATACGGTCTCACAAGGAGTCTGAGGATCTCGGTACCTAATGGCAGTCAGGCTACCTCTGGCGAGCACATGGAGGGCTGTGCGGCCCCCTAAAGAAATGCCACCCCACACCATTACTGACCCACTGCCAAACCGGTCATGCTGGAGGATGTTGCAGGCAGCAGAACGTTCTCCACGGCATCTCCAGACCGTGTCACGTCTGTCACATGTGCTCAGTGTGAACCTGCTTTCATCTGTGAAGAGCACAGGCGAATTTGCCAATCTTGGTGTTCTCTGGCAAATGCCAAACGTCCTGCACGGTGTTGGGCTGCAAGCACAACCCCCACCTGTGGACATCGGGCCCTCATACCACCCTCATGGAGTCTGTTTCTGACCGTTTGAGCAGCCACATGCACATTTGTGGCCCGCTGGAGGTCATTTTGCAGGGCTCTGGCAGTGCTTCTCCTGTCCCTTCTTGCACAAAGGCGGAGGTAGCGGTCCTGATGCTGGGTTGTTGCCCTCCTACGGCCTCCACGTCTCCTGATGGACTGGCCTATCTCCTGGTAGCGCCTCCATGCTCTGGACACTCCGCTGACAGACACAGCAAACCTTCTTGCCACAGCTCGCATTGATGTGCCATCCTGGATGAGCTGCACTACCTGAGCCACTTGTGTGGGTTGTAGACTCCGTCTCATGCTACCACTAGAGTGAAAGCAACGCCAGCATTCAAAAGTGACCAAACCATCAGCCAGAAAGCATAGGAACTGAGAAGTAGTCTGTGGTCACCACCTGCAGAACCACTCCTTTATTAGGGATGTCTTGCTAATAACTGCCTCTGCTTCCACCTGTTGTCTTGCATTTGCACAACAGCATGTGAAATTGATTGTCAATCAGTGTTGCTACCTAAGTGGACAGTTTGATTTCACAGAAGTGTGATTGACTTGGAGTTACATTGTGTTTAAGTGTTCCCTTTATTTTTTTGAGCAGTGTATATATTAAACAGGAGGGGAGAGAACAGCAAAGCTTTTAAATCAGTAATAGGTCATCAAAGTTGCCTGTTTCTATCTTTTAAAAGACAGATTCTGGGAACTCTGAAAGTTAATGTAGTGAAAACAACCAAATGTTTATATGTATGTTTATGTTGCTAAAAGTTATGCTTGTTATATCTAGATCCGTCTGCCACCCGAAGTCAACCGAATTTTGTATATCAGGAATTTACCATATAAAATCACAGCTGAAGAAATGTATGACATTTTTGGAAAATATGGACCTATTCGACAAATCAGAGTGTAAGTCTGTTGTGTATTTGAATAAACTGAACTTCAAATGAGACTTTATGTAGTTACACAAAGCAGTTTTTTAGTTGGTAAACAAATCGTGATCACAGTTTAATAAAATGGTTTCTATAATAGTGTCAGAGTGCAAGAAACTTCCTCAACCTGGCCTAGCTGCTTAGAACTCTTTTGATATGTTAGACACTTTCCCCGGCTCTGTAACTAATCTCAATCACCCTAAGCCCGTGATGGCGAACCTATGGCACATGTGCCGGAAGTGGAATGCAGAGCCATTTCTGCCAGCATGCGAGCCGTTGCCCGGAACAGATCCACTGTGCATGTGTGTGTGCCCCCCGCCAGGCAGCTGATTGGGTATCTTCCGTGCATGCGCAGGGAGAGATGCGTGTGTGGGAGATGCAAGTGCATGCGCAAGTGAGTGGGGCGTGCAGGGGGGTCATGCACACATGCGTAGGTGGGGGGTGTCACGCATTCGTTGCATTATGGGTGCAGGCACGCAGGCACTTTTGGCACGCGACGACAAAAAGGTTAGCCATCTCTGCCCTAAGCCAAAGCAAACAAATTACATTACAGCCGGTCTGATAAAATATGATGGAAATTATGTGCCTGTGATTTATTGTGTAGCACAGTTGAATGCGTAATGAAATGCATTTAAATCAGAGATGAGCAATCTGCTCAGTTTTAGGATTAAATTTTAGCTTGTGTCTTGCCTCGGGCTGCAGAGACATGGCTAATAACATTGTGAAGTGACCAGAGTGGATAATTTCAGTTTTATTCCATTTGTATACTGCCTCAGTCTAGGATTTTTTTCCCCGTTAAGGGAGTGGTTTACTAGGTCAGAGGGATGCTAAAATATTAAGCTATTTATTTCATCCCGTAATACCTCTAGGTCAGCAGAAAAAGTTCTGAAAATGTTAGTTCTGTTAATTTGGGAGTGGGGGGTGACAGAATCTGACGTTTGCAGATAGGATACTGTATGAAGCCTAGTGCCTGTCTATTCCTGGCTGATACACAAGTAAATTCATATATTGTGGTGTTAACTGATTTTAAGGATTAGCTCAAGTGTCAGGAAAAATTGTATTGGTGACAAATGTCATCTCAAAGATTCAAAATACTGGTTTGCTGACATGAAACTTGTTATCCTAACAGAGGAAATACTCCTGAGACGAGGGGAACAGCCTATGTAGTCTATGAAGATATCTTTGATGCCAAAAATGCTTGTGATCATCTGTCAGGATTCAATGTGTGCAACAGATACCTTGTCGTTTTGTACTACAATGCAAACAGGGCAAGTATATTCTTTAAAGCATATCAGTTCTTCAATTTTGCTGTGTTTTTCTCTTTTGATGAGAATATTATGGGGATATTTTCGGATAGTCTAACCAGGGAGATTTTAGCTGTAGTAAACTAAAGGATCTGGTTAGAGAAGTGAGATGGTGCTTTGTACGTTTTCCTACATTCTGCAACGCATAAAGAAAAACAGTTCAACACATAGTTTTCCGAAAGAAATCCATCTATTTAAAAAAATGAAAAATCAACCTCCTGCATAAAGATCTTTTTTTTTAAAAAAAAAACAAGTTTTATTAATTTTTAAAACACACAAATTGTCATTATTCATTACATGTTTAAACCTTTTTTCATTGTCAATTTAACAAGTCAGATAAATTATAATTCTGTTTTAGACCATTTCCATACAACATACCAAAACCTCTTATTCAATTTCTCTTTACTTCTCTTTACTCTTATTCAATATCATTATTATTATTTCATCTGTTTCTTTCTGACTTAGTTACCATTATTCTCAATCTATATTTCTACAATTTTTAACTAATTCTCCCCCCAAAAAGACATATACACACAACACACAAAACATAAAAGAAATCTTTTTGGAAAGTAACTTGGACCCAGGTGTCTCTCTCTTCATGGACTTCAATTATATTCATGCTCATCTTACATATCATTACTTATTTTATTTACCATTCTAAGCCTTCTATATTAACTTCCCCACATATTTCACACTTCTTACTTCTATCTTAATTAATCATCTTAATTTGAATCATTATATTTATATCTTTTGTCCATTTTTTATCATCCCTTTGTCTCATTCCTTATAAAAAAAAAGAAAATAAGTTTCTCCTGAAATCATTAATCAGAGTATGATGCCTTTCTATCTCCCCCCTAAGTTAATCAAATTAATCTTTAAAATAATATCTAATACCCAATCCGATTTTGCTTGGTACATTCTATCTAACTAATACATCCAACATAATTAAGTACATAATTAGACAATAAATCCAAATATTAAAAAAAGATACTATAATAAAAATTTTATAATAACATCAATACCATAGTCTTATTAAACTCTTTAATTAAAACAATATTCTAAACCTCCCCTATTATTAAGTTTTAAAGCCAATCATTTTTAAACATTTTAACATTTTAATCTCTTATCAACTCTTAAATCATTACAATACTACCATCTCATCTTATGTACCTTGCAAAATCTTTTTTTTTTTAAAAAAAAATTATACTTTATCCATTATCCAAAAAAAATTTCTTTTTTTCATTTAATTTCAAAACATTGTAGCTTTTCTCCACCTTTTCCCTTTCTTTCTTCTCCCAACAAACCTTTCTACCCCCCCTTCTTCTAGCCTCTGCCTTGCCAGCTTCCCTTCTCTGTCGTATTCCTTTTCCCTTTTGTTTACTATCATCATATTGGTTTTGCACCTTATTTTTCCCTTTCTTAAATGTTTTTTTAGATCTTAAGTCCTTAAGTCCTTTAATTTTCTTCTTTTCTCTTCTTTTCTTTTCTTTCTCTCTTCCTTCTTTCTGGATCAAGTTCTGAGATTCATTAAAAATGGCTCCTTTCTTTCTTTCTTGTTCCTCTGCTGTCTTCATCTGTTGTAATGTTTGTTGATAATTAATAAGCGCCATTTCTAAGAAAAGGAAAGCTTCTTCCACACCATCTTTACCATTTTTTTTTTGCTTGTTCATATTCTTTTCTTAGTTCCTCAACAGAAAGAGCCATTATAAATCTTTTCTTTTCTTTTCCCCTTCTTTCTTCTTGCAACAACCAGAATATTCAAAAGAAAATAAAACAAATAAAACAGTCCCAAAGTTATCAGTCAGTCCAAACCAAGGCAGAGTTCTCACTTTCTCCTTCTGGGGTAATATCAATCCAAGAGAAAGAAAGTCCAAATCTGTTTAAAATCTTATTGCAATATATTCTAGTCTTCAAATCCTTAAGGCATCTGCTCCAACAAAGTCTTAGCATACAAATGTTTTCTTTTTAATCCTCTCTCTTCCCACTCATCGCTTAAAACCAATTTTCACCTAAAAGAAATAGGTTTCTTAATATCCAGTTATTTATTCCGTAGGAAAAGAGGGAAAGCTATCCTTTCAGCACCTTCAAACAGCCGCTTTTTTCCTCTTCTGGCAGGTATTATTCAGAAAGTCATACTTTTCAGGAATTTTATTAGATATGTCTTAGAGTCCTAGGAGCCAAGAAAAACTTTCTCCTCTCAATCACTTTCTCCACTTCCTCCTGCGCATTCTTACCCGGCTGCCAGCTTCTTTGTGGCGGCCATTACAGACCGCCGCTGCACCGTCCTGGGAAAAGGGAGTTCTGCCGGCCAGGGAGGGAGTCTGCAACACCCCCAAACCCTTCTCCGGATCCCCCCTACTTCAGCTGCCCCTGCAGGGCAGCCTAGCTCCGTACCCGGCTGGGTCGGAGCCCCAAAAACGGCTAGCGCGGCAGGGATCGCGCAGCTTCGCAAATCCCTGCCGCTCGCGAAGCCGACAAACCGGAAGTCCACTCCTGCATAAAGATCTATATACAGTATATATGCATTACTGCTTTCTTACTGTGTTTTGATTATTTTTAATTATGGGTTATACAGGTGAAACTCAAAAAATTAGAATATTGTGCAAAAGTTCATTTATTTCAGTCATGCAACTTAAAAGGGGAAACTAATATATGAGGTAGACTCATTACATGCAAAGCAAGAGAGTTCAAGCTGTGATGTGTCATAATTGAGATGATTATGGCTTACAGCTCATGAAAACCCCAAATCCAAAATCTCAGAAAATTAGAATATTGTGAAAAGGTTCAATATTCTAGGCTCAAAGTGTCCCACTCTAATCAGCTTAATTAAGCCATAACACCTGCAAAGGGTTCCTGAGCCTTTAAATGGTCTCTCAGTCTGGCTCAGTAGGAATCAATCATGGGAAAGACTGCTGACCTGACAGTGGTGCAGAAAACCATCACTGACACCCTCCATAAAAAGGGAAAGCCTCAAAAGGTAATTGCAAATGAAGTTGGATGTTCCCAAAGTGCTGATAGCTTCCATGACACGTCGCATTGAGGCAGTAATTGCTGCAAAAGGGGCCCAAACTAAGTACTGAGTACACATGCCTGCTTATACTTTTCAGAGGACGATATTGTTCTATGTTCAATCCTTGTTTTATTGATTGCATGTAATATTCTAATTTTCTGAGAATGTGGATTTGGGGTTTTCATGAGCTGTAAGCCATAATCATCTCAATTATGACACATCACGGCTTGAACTATCTTGTTTTGCATGTAATGAGTCTATCTCATATATTAGTTTCACCTTTTAAGTTGCATTCCTGAAATAAATGAACTTTTGCACGATATTCTAATTTTTTGAGTTTCACCTGTAAATCCTGGATATGGAAGTAGCATTGGGAATAAAAACCAATGTATTTAGTCATTAGCCTTCTCAGTTTCATATTTTTTTCAGATTTGATACCATTGCTAAAATCTGCAGAGTGCTTGTAGCATGGTATAATAGCCTCAATCAGTCTTAAAATATATTTCTTAATATTTTGGTGAATGTTAAGGATATTTTTGTAAAACATAACCATAGAATTTGCTGACTTGCCAAGTGGGGAGGCTGATAATTGGAGATTTCTAGTCAGAGAAGGATTTCCTACTGTAGAAACCTAGTTTTATACTAAATAGAGAAAAGGAACAAATACTTTCTCCTTCTTTTACTAGATCATTTGTTATAGTTATTAGACTAGTACTTAAAGGGTAAAAACATTTTTGTTTGCTGACTAGATAGTCCTTTGCATACAGGATTTATTCTTCAGTTACTAAGAATACAGAACAGCTATTGCTTTTCAGTGTCTTTTCTACTGTTTATGAATAATAGTTGACCATACCATTTTAATTTCCCAGTCTAGGGTTTTAATATTTGCTCCTGATATAATTAACCATTGACATATCTCAAAGTTTAAAAATGTATAGAAACTCTGTGATTGCATTGTATTAAAAGAGAAACTAAGACAAGCATTATGTACAAGTCACTCTTAAAAGAACAAAGATTACACAAAGACTTTGTGTAGAGGAGTAAAACTGAATCTTAGTGTAGATTTTCCTTTTTATTGACTATTCCCCAAAGTCATGTTTAGTCTATCAGCAGTTTTGGATGTAGCCCTCCAGAGATGTTTACAAAAATTGAACGCCTTAAAGAAACCACCTACCAGCTTGTTTACTCTATCTAGCTTAATTGTTTGTGGTGTATGGGTGGTCTCAAACATCCATTTATCACAAGCATTTCACAAACCTACAAATAGACATACAGGTCTCTCTCTCTCTCCCCCCCCCTCTCTCCCCTCTCTCTCAGTTCTCCCTCCCTCCTTCTCTCCCTCCCACTCTTTCTCTTATAGCAGTACTGGCATAATGGGGGAGGGGCAGCTTGAGCAAGATAACTTAAGGCCAGCATGTTATTGTAGCATACCATATCTTACCCTCAATTTTGCTTGTTTTCAAGAAGTTGATGTATGAATTGTATAGTTAAATCACAAACCATTTTGATGGTAAGTAACCTGAATTGCACAAGATTATTCCCAAAGTGAAAGTGGCTTAAATATTTTTTACATTTATAATATATTGCTTTTAATATTTATTTTTGTCCTGTGACAGGCATTCCAAAAAATGGATACAAAGAAGAAAGAAGAACAGCTCAAGCTTCTGAAGGAGAAATATGGAATAAACACAGACCCACCAAAATAAAACTTTTCCTAAAGAACTGGTTGTTTGGTGTTTTTTAAAAACATCAGTGTTTCTGGGCCAAATGTCACCCCCCAATTATGGACACCTGGTATATGAAGATTTGGTAATTTTAGTTCTTTGATTACATAACCATCTTGATTATTCTCACCTTTGGAAGATTGCTCACTGCTGTATATAATGATAGGCACTTGGATATTGAAATTAGCTAAGGCTTTGGAATAACATTTTTCCACAATTGAGAGACCATTAATATCACTTTTTTAGCCATTACAGTCAGTGGAATGTGTAAAATCTTCTGAAGGCTCAGTCTCATATTTAATTTGTAATGGAGAAGCATGTGTATTTTAAAATATATTTTGGAACTTTATCACCTAAGTATAGCCCATAAATTGTTTTCTTTGCATGATGCGTTTGGTGGGGAAACCTGTAGAGATCCACTTCTGTGTCTCTTCTGTTGCAATGTGCTGGACCAAGAATCTGACAGCATTTGAAAAAAATAAACCTTCTTGATCACATTAACTGCTTCAAAAAACAAAAGGAATATGGGGTTGTGCGGACATGCAATCCGAATTTTCTTTGCTAAAATGTATAGAAATGTTCAGTTTTGCTATTGTATTGCTTTTGTTTTATAAGTGCGGAATAACACTTGCAATCAGATACAGTAGAGGTTAAATATTTGGTTAACTCTTGTATAATGTCTTTATTTTTTAGAAATAAGGTGTTTTTTTAATAAAGTGAGCTTATTGGGTCTTTAAGAGAACTATGTGATTTTATGATTAAATGATTCTACATTTGTTTCAGATGTTATAATTTGCTACATACCCAGTGTTGTGCAGTTTTGATTTTTGTTGTTGTTAAAGTAGTACTCTTTGCATAAATACCCAGGCCCATTTTACTTACACTCCAAAAAAGCTTTTGTAACTACGTGCTGTGTTTTCACTCAGATTTTTTCAAAGTCGAAACTGAAAAGCTTTACGTTTGAACCTTTCTCAAGTTACAAGTCCTCAAGGCTGGGTAAACTGCAATTCTACTTGTCCCTCTCTTGAATTATCCTGTGATGAATTGTCCTGTGGCAAGTTGGCCATGGCGAGTAGTCCCTTTCCAGCATTTTGATATCACTGAGAAGCTTGAGAATTCAGAGATATGGTTCAAATATCTAACTAGTGGTTGTGCCTTACTTTGGGTTGTCTGCAATAACACAACCTACATCTTGCTCCATACCATGCACTGATTGTAGATATGCTGGATCCAAAATTCTTACAACTTGTGAAACCAGACCAGAAACTTGATCTTTCATTAGTCTGCTTTAAGGATCCTATTTCTGGTCTAGTTTTCTGGGTGAGGTGAAATAATTAGAACGAAATGGGAAGCAAATTTCTGGGGATCTAACTCAAGATTGTTGTAGCTTAGTATCACTGTACAAATAGCTTAGCTAAATATATGGAAGAGTTAACAGTATAAATGCAACATATGTTGCACTTTTGTAGCAACACTTTAAAAAAACACATGCTATTTTCTGGACATCATTGTATCTGTCTTCCTTTAATAGAAATAATGGAAAAAATAGTTCCCTTAAATCCAATTCACTGGCATATAATACAAAGGTCAATGGAGTTAAACTGTGCGAATTTTAATATTTAGGTTGTCTTAAAAAAGAGTAATGTCCAGATTTTCAGCTTATGTCTAATTTTGACAACATAGGCAGAGGTTTATGTTGATATAAATTCTAGGAACCTAAGCTTGAGAAATAAGTCTAAGATTAAACGTTGAAAGTGGTTTCTACTCCTCATACTTAGAGAGTGGATAGGTTTGAATCCTCAAACTGGGTGGTGATGAATTAGATCTTCGATGTATCAAGACTGAGCAATGACCCGTTTTGAATATAGTTAAGTTTTTATGTTCACAACTGCAATTGACCCTTCCACTCTCCCATTTCTACTAGTTAAAATGCATTACTTGTACTAAGAAGTGCCATGAGGAATCAGTCACCAGACATATATTACACAATTTTGCAGCCACCTCCCTCCTTCACATTCATTCTAAGCTAAAACAAACCATATTATGTGTCAGTATAATGAATACATCCCAACTTCTATTCAAGAGGGAAGAACCAGTTTATGAGGCAAAGGGTTTACCTGGAAGCAAAGGGGACTACTCTTTCTACAGGATGCCATCTTTTTCTCTTTGAGGTATAAATTCCCACTTCAGCAAGTGCTAATTTAGGAAGTTCCTTAATCTAAAGAAGTGGACAACTAAACTGGAGCTTGGAGCAGATTTCTCTGTAAACCCTCAGATGATTTGGAAATTTCTATGAAATTTCTTTGATATGTAGACCTTGAGGTATATTGATAGGGAATTTGTGTAATTCAAATCTAAGCTACTTTATATTTGGATTTATGGACTGCATGATTTTGGTTGGTAAGATTGATTCATTCAACAACAGAATAAATCCTTGTATTGGCTCGACAGTAGTTTAAAACAAGAGAAAGGCAACAGAGTATCAATACTTTTATTTTTCTGAAAAGTTTTCACATGATGTGTTAATTAAAACAGCTGCAAGTGGAACAGCTTGAGAAAAAAGTGGCAGCGCAGGTAATTTGGTTTGGCTAATGCCTCCGTGTGTACATGATGTACACTTGTTTTCTGAGCACCGGTGTTCCTTTAGTGGATTATAAGGCAGTGGTTGTCCAATAAGTAAAATCTGTATATAGCTTCAATTATATATATAATTCTAATCACAATTTTGAAGTTTCACGTGCAAAATAAAATGTACAACTTCCATTCCATAGCAAAGAAGCAATTAACTGAACAAATACCAATAATCAGTTTTTTAAAAAAAAAAAAAAAAAGAGGGAAAGGAAGTAGGGAAAACAACTTCATAAGCATTATTGGCATGACAACTTGAGTGAAGATATAAATTTCAGTGAGATTTCTTCCATTAAAAAGAATGGGGAAAGAGCACTGATAAACAGATTTTTTAAAAATTATTAGTCCCAATTTCATTCTATCCTGAGAAGCTCCACATCAAAAATCAAAGTAGCATTTGGTGGGATAACTCCAGGATGACCTGTTGTTCCATATGCCATATCAGGTGTACAAGTGAGTTTTACTCTTTGTCCAAGGCTCATCTGGCATTAGATGGTATGAAATCAAAAAGAGAGAAGAAAAGGTTTGTAAAAATGTTGAGAGCCCAGTGTCCTAGGTTGTATCAAGTTTTAAAACTGGCAATAACGTTCAAAGTTCTATACATCAAATCATGAGATCAAAACGCAATTCATATCACCCAAATTTATTTCCTACCATTTTGAACCAAAAACTACGTCAAAATTGTAAGCTTAAAATATATGTAGGATTCTTACAGCCTCGTTTCCACTGTTCCCAGACCAGAATCTCATGCCCATTCATCCATCAATCCAACGTTCAGGTTCAAATACTACAGGAAGAATATAGCAATTGGCAGAATGATAAGGAAGGATACTTGGGGCCACTTCACTTCTATGGTAAAAATAAAAGTGTTTTCAAATTCTCAGATGAATGCTCTGGTGGAAGAGGGTAACCGATGCAGTAATCTACTTTAATAAACACCTGGTCATCTGAGTCAGTCTGCTCTAATGGGTAAGGCACCCGGCTAGAAATTGGGAGATGGTGAATTCTACTCCCACCTTTGGCGTGAAAACTGGTTGGGTGACTTTAGCCACTTCCTTTCTCTGACCCCAACTCACCTCACAGGGCTGCTGTTGTTGGGAAAATAAAAGGAGGAAGGTATGTTGGATATGTTTGCCCCTTGAGTTTTTTGTAAAAATAATAATCCTGGGATATAAATAAAAATAAATAAATCTGAGTTTTAGGACTACGGAACAAAGGGAGCAGTCAAAATGAATAGATTTATGACAGCAGCCTAGGGTAGTTGCAATGCTCCCTTCATTGTTTTGATAAAAGTAGTAAGTTTCAATGCATGCTCCCGTTTGGCTGGGAATTTGGAAGGAAAAAAAAACCTCACTAAGAAGACAATGAGAAAGCACTGTCATATACAAGTGAAACTCAAAAAATTAGAATATCGTGCAAAAGTTCATTTATTTCAGTCATGCAACTTAAAAGGTGAAACTAATATATGAGATTAACTCATTACATGGAAAGCAAGAGAGTTCAAACCGTGATTTGTCATAATTGAGATGATTATGGCTTACAGTTCATGAAAACCCCAAATCCACAATCTCAATAAATTAGAATATTACATGCAATCAATAAAACAAGGATTGTACATAGAACAATATCGGACCTCTGAAAAGTATAAGCATGCATGTGTATTCAGCACTTGGTTTGGGCCTCTTTTGCAGCAATTACTGCCTCAATGCGGCGTGGCATGGAAGCTATCAGCCTGTGGCACTGCTGAGGTGTTATGGAAGACCAGGATGCTTCAATAGTGGCCTTCAGCTCTTCTGAATTGTTCAGTCTCATGTCTCTCATCTTTCTCTTGGCAATGTCCCATAGATTCTCTATGGGATTCAGGTCAGGCGAGTTTGCTGGCCAGTCAAGCACAGTAATCCCACGGGCATTGAACCAGGTGCTTTTGGCAGTGTGGACAGGTGCCAAGTCCTGCTGGAAAATGAAGTCAGCATCCCCATAAAACTCATCTGCGGAAGGAAGCATGAAGTGCTCCAAAATCTCCTGGTAGACGGCTGCGTTGGGCCTGGACTTAATGAAGCACAGTGGACCAACACCAGCAGAGGACATGGCTCCCCAAATCAACACAGACTGTGGAAACCTCACACTGGACTTCAAGCATCTTGCAGTGTGTGCCTCTCCATTCTTCCTCCAGACTCTGGGTCCTTGGTTTCCAAATGAGATGCAAAAGTTGCTCTCATCAGAAAAGAGGACTTTGGATCACTGAGCAACAGACCAGTTCTGTTTTTCTTTAGCCCAGGTAAGACGCTTCTGACGTTTGTTGTTCAGGAGCGGCTTGACAAGAGGAATACGACATTTGAAGCCCATGTCCAGGATCCCTTTGTGTGTGGTGGCTCTTGATGCACTGACTCCAGCCTCAATCCACTCCTTGTGAAAGTCCCCAACACTTTTGAATTGCCTTTTCCTGACAATCCTCTCCAGGCTGCGGTCATCCCTGCTGCTTGTGCACCTTTTTCTTCCACACTTTTCCTTTCCACATAACTTTCTATTCATGTGCTTTGATACAGCACTTTGGGAACATCCAACTTCTTTTGCAATTACCTTTTGAGGCTTTCCCTCCTTATGGAGGGTGTCAATGATGGTTTTCTGCACAACTGTCAGGTCAGCAGTCTTTCCCATGATTGTGATTCCTACTGAGCCAGACTGAGAGGCCATTTAAAGGCTCAGGAACCCTTTGCAGGTGTTATGGCTTCATTAGCTGATTAGAGTGGGATGCTTTGAGCTTAGAATATTGAACTTTTTCACAATATTCTAATTTTCTGAGATTGTGGATTTGAGGTTTTCATGAGCTGTAAGCCATAATCATCTCAATTATGACACATCACAGCTTGAACTCTCTTGCTTTGCATGTAATGAGTCTTTCTCATATATTAGGTTCACCTTTTAAGTTGCATTACTGAAATAAATGAACTTTTGCACATATTCTAATTTTTCGAGTTTTACCTGTAGATAGTCCTTGACTTACAGCCATTTGTTTAGTGACAATTCAAAGTTATAACGGCACTGAAGTAACCATTTCTCACACAACTGATACAGCATCCCCATGGTCACCTGATCAGAATTCAGGCACATGGCAAGTGGCATGTTTTTATGACTGTTGCACTGTCCCGGGTCATGTGATCAGCATTTGCAATCTTCCCAGCTGGCTTCTAAGAAGCAAAGTCAATGTGGGAAGCCAGATTCAATTAACCACTAAAGTTAATTGACCACTAAATTAAAATTCAATTAACCACTAAAGTTAATTGCCGCTTAAAAACAGTGGCAAAAAAGGTAGTAAAATGGAGCAAAGCTTACTTACTGCCTTGTTTAGCAACAGAAATTTTGGGCTCAGTTGTGGTCATAACTCGAAGACTACCTCTATATTATTGCCCCCCAAAATGACTGCTTGACAGGAAGGATATTTTATCTTTGTGAGCCATATTCATTTAAATTTAATTTTGTATACAACAAACCACTAGGTGGAGACAGCAAGTAGCTGTTAAAAGTGAACATCTACAGAAGCTAGTAAGAAGCTTGCTCTTATAATAAACACAAACAGGATTAAACAGGCCCCCTTACTTCCCAGTAGAAGAGGGTGTTCTAAGTTGCCTACATAAAGAAAGTAGGAAGCAGGGCAGCTCACATTAAGCAGAGTAAATAGTCGGCCGCTGTCAATTTAGTTAACCACTCAATTAGTGTAGAATTAGTATAGAAATTCATAAGTCACTTCTAAGTTCATTTGGAAAATTTTAGGGATGCAGAAATGGTGCAAGGATGATTCAGGTTTCTAAGCTTATGTTTTATTCTCTTCAGAAGTGTTTCCATATGAAATTGTGATCCCAAAAATAGAGGCAGGGGTGAAATCAAACAATCCTAGGAACAAAAGGGGGAAATTATATAAAACAGGAGAATCTCAGCAGAAAACCCAAGGAAAAAAGCAAAGCAAAACAAAACTGTTAGGGTTATCTAATGCTTACCTGAAGCATCCTGTTGAATACACTGGATTTACTTAAAAGTAAATATGCCTTAGGAGTAACAATGTCAGGGGCTAAAATGTAGCTGTTTGCTTAGCTTGCCTAATTTTAACATACCAACACACACATTGCAGAGATTCTAAATTCATACCTCCCCCCCCCTTTCATTTATGATATTGTTAGCATTATTACTGTAGCTTTTTCTGTTCTGAAAACATAAATTCTCTTACCTGTGCAGTTCCTTCTTCAAATCCTTTAATGACTTCCTGTCTACCAATCTTGAACCTGAAAGGCTTGTTTCGATCTCGGGAGGAATCAAACTTCTTTCCATTCTGCAGCATTCCTGTCAAAGCAACATAAACATTTCCTATTCTTGTCAGGCCTGAGTTAGGAAAAGTCTTACCTCAGACTCTAAACAAAATGGACAAGATTATTAGAAGGGAGACTGGGTACAGGGTAAGGTGAAGTCTCTAACAGAGGGCCAAGCTAAGATTAAAAGGGAATTGAGATCTCAAGGCAGTGTCTCTCCTCCTTGGAAACTTAAAATTATATGGACTTCATCTTCCAGAATTCCCCAGTCAGCATTCATACTACTACAACTTGCCAAGGTTGAAAAAACTGGCCCAGGGAATCTTAAAGATTGTAGGTAGGAAAGACTGGTGGCATCTACAGCAGTAGCAGCCAGGTCTGTTTACACATGTAGCCAAAAATATTGGTATCCCTCCACCTTTCCCCTTATTTACAAAAATATATCACCTCTATATCAGAATCGAAGTATCTGCTCCATGGATTATGGAATAAAGAATGGAATGGTGGCTGCCATGTATTTGTGTCAATTGAAACTTATTTCAGAGCAAATTAGGATTATTTGGGGAAAAGTGGAAGGGAGTCTGGGGCACTGCATCAATATATATATACAGTCCTGGGTCAGTTAATGTTAGACCATATACCATGTACTTTTTTTTTTCTTGTTTGATTTAATTTCCTCTCCGTTTTTATTCTGTTGCAAGGTATTTCCTTGTAGTATTCTAAATAGGATTGTCATTATACTTCAAGTGCCAGACTGGGAAGGAGCAGCAAATTTCTCACTTTTATGTAACTACCCTCTGCCAGTACTGCTGCCTGCGTCATCCAGACCGATTGGCAAGCAAAGCAGCTTTAGCAAGGTATCCAGTTACAGATGAACAAGATGATCTTTAACTATTAAAGGGAAAAGATGACATAAACACAAGCTTTAAAAAAGAAGTCTACAGCCCCAAGGAAACTCTAACAAATGGGAACTTGTATTTTGTTTTTTTCTTTAGGAATTTTTGTCTAACTCTTCTCCTAAAGAAGAGTACATTTCACTACAGCAACTTGTGAAGTAGATTAGGCTCAGAGATGCTGGCTGGACACAATCATTGTACAAAAATCATAATTTGATTTTTTTTGGTTTTGGCTTAGAGTGTATTATGAATAACAGTGCAACGTATTAGTTATGGGCCCAAGGCCACTATGAATGAAGTTTATATGCCTGTTGTAACTTCTTTACTGTATCTTAATTCAAATATGTATTTTCCTGAGCCTGCATAGCTACTGCGTCAGTCCAGGAAAAGTCACAGATGCTTTTAAAGAGCTACCAGGAGGTACAACAAAGGTGGCATTTAGATTTGAACACTTCACATTATAATTCCTATCCCTCTGTAATATTCTCTAATACAAGTACGCTTCACGATTCTTTCATGATGGCAAATTGCTCATATCCTAATGCAGCAAAGTTTCCCAAATCATGCTCCAATTGGTCTGAGATTATTATTGTGGAATGCAGGGTGTAGTTCTGCCAGACATAACAATACTTCTTTAGCGTCAAAAGTTCACCTTCAAATTCATTTGTATGTAAACATTCCTCCAGAAGTCTGGGAGATTATCTAAGTGCTTTTTGGCAAAGCTTTAATGAGCCTCAATGCTCTTCTTAGTGAGATATTACTTCCATCCTACTAGCCTCCCATAAATCCCATTTTATCTGTATCTTTCTGATGGTGAAGTCATAAACATTGGCTTTAGCCAAAACACTTGTTTTTTTCTGAGTCCCCCACCCTAGCCACAGCCCTCTACTAGGATAAATTCTAATGGGTCTTCTAACTCTCACAAAGGATTGAGGGGGAGTTGAAGGACTATAAAGAAAAGGAGACTTCATCTCCTGAAGCCTCTGGCTTGTATTTTTATATTTGATACCTTATCATTTGCATGCAGCATATCAAAGAATCAAGAGTATATTAAGCACACTTTAAAGTGCCATGAACAGGCACTGTATGTATGTTCCTTCAATTGCTGCCTTCTCTTAAAATGATTAACTTTTATATATACTGTTTTATATTTTAACATTTTGCTGTATATTTCCCAGAGTTACGCTCTGAGAGACATGAGAAATGTGAAAAATAAATAAATAAAATAAAATATTTGTTTTTGTGGTCTGAATGTTGATTGCAACAGAATCCCATCCATAGCAAAACTACTTCATTGTGGAAGTTAGTCCAACTCATTAAGAAGACACCAAAATATTATATGTTACTATGTCTTCATTCTCCTATTCATAATTTTTATTTCAAATTAATGCCAGAACTAGAAGAAACTCAACTCTCCAAGGCCATTCTCAGTTAAACAGAACACAATCATGTTAGAAAAAAGAAAATACACCAGCCTGGTTGGCAAATATGATTAAGAGGAAGGTTGGCATACATTTTTTAAAGAGAGTTGTGAGAGCAGGAAGAACTGAATGCATTTACTCCTTAGCTCCCCACAAAAAAATGTGATTTAAACACATTTTCTTTCCAACTGTGATGGTTAGTGTAGAAAATGAGCTAGCCTAGGAGAAAATAATCTAAACTGAAAGAATGTAGAATGCAAGGCAAAAAATTATCACTCTCCTTATTCTTTATATCAAAAATTGACACTAGTCATTGCCTTGTAGCTGAGCAGCATCTCATCCATGATCAAGGAAGGATTACCGTATTGCTCATTTCATGCCTTGCAGCCCATCTGAGTTAATTAGGTTTTTCTACTCGCGAGAATGCAATTTAGAACATTCAACTACATTATGAGGTATTGCTGCACCAAAGATGTGCTGATGCCTCAGGCACCTCAGGACTTATGGCTTAGTTGAAAAATTAAACAGCCAGCAGATAGTATGAACATCTGCCAAACCCTAATATAGCTACAGCTGTTTTGAACTATAATCTAAAACGTCATAAAGGCATGTGATATGGACAGTTTTGCCTTTATTCAAATACATGTTTTACACATCCAGGGAACTGTCTGTTGGTGATTTTCCAACAAGATTTTCATTTCTTTCTAAATCCTGATTAGGCCCCATAAATGCAGTAAAATATTTTGCAGTTTGTTATTTGGGGAATGTCTAACTCTGCCACTGCTATTAATAGCTCTTGCTACGAGCCTGTCACGATTTTGAAAACCCAATACGGCTTTGGCTTCAGAATTGCTCATCATCTCCAACCCAGCCAGTCACCGAGTGCAAATTTTTTCTGCAAGGCTTGCAAGTTAATTGCCGTTTCCTATGTCCTCCTTTATCAATGTAGCACGTAGGATCTTAGACTGTGGCAAAGGCATTGGCTGCCTGGATACCATTCATTTCAGAGAAGCAAGTCAGCAATCTTGGCAGGACTGGACTGGGCACTGTATCTGGAATTAATATTACTGAGACTCTGTCATTTTGATATTGAGATTTAGTGGGCTGCTTTCAGATCCGTTTAGCTTTTTCCAACCATGGAATATTCAGTGTATTTTGTATTCAGAAGTTACTTGTGCTTCATTTGTAGGCTGATATGCGTAGTTCTTGTTTAGGATAAATTTTTACCACCCCAGCTTACTTTATGATGATTGTGTATAAATGAATATGTATAAAAGAGAAGCAAAAAAAGAGAAAAATGAAAGGGTGATGGGGGGTGGGGGGTGGAGGAAAAATAATAAGGAAAAATTGAGAGCACTTATTTTAGGCAGTACTCTAACCACCAAAGCATTCGTCACAAGAAAAACCAGGAAAGATACATAACCTGTAACATTCTCACTTTTAGCCTAGGAAACCTGGCCATTTTGATCAACATTACTATTAGTCTTTATCTCCTTCGTTGCTTACCAAAATATGTGGATCAGACCAAAGCTAAAAAACTGCAACAAGAAAGGGGATTGTTGAATGGTCCTTTTGAATCTTTTGCATCAAAATAAAACCCGACAGCAGATTTCTTACTAATCCAGTCATTATTGCTTCAACTTGTATAGTTCACTGTCTATGGCATAGAGCAGTGGTAGTCAACCTGGTCCCTACCGCCCACTAGTGGGCGTTCCAGCTTTCATGGTGGGCGGTAGGAGTTTTGTCCCCAACTTTATAAATCACCATTACTGTGGAACCGGTGGGCAGTTAGGGAAAATTTTACTACTAAGAGAGATACAAAAGTGGGCCGTAGGTATAAAAAGGTTGACTACCCCTGGCATAGAGCATGGGTGCCTGACCTTTTGGTTTACCTGAGCTACACTGAGTGAAAAGGAATTGTCCTGGGCTGCATAAAGTCTATGTAATATACAAGTAGTCCTCAACTTAAAACCACAATTGACCCCAAAATTTATGTTGCTGTGAGAAAAATTCGTTAAATGAGTGTTGCCCATTTTATGACTTTTCTTGCCATGTTTGTTAGGTGAACAGCTGCAGTTGTTAAATCAGTAACACAATTGTGAAGTGAATCTGGTTCCCCCATTGGCTGTTTGTCAGAAGGTCACAAAAGGGAATCACATGACCCTGGGACACTGCAACTGTCATAAATGTGAGTCAGTTGTCAAGCATCCAAATGTAAATCACATGACTATGGCGAAGTTGCAATGGCTATAAGTGTGAACAATGCTCATGTCACTTTTTCCAGTGCAGTTGTCATGTTGAACAGTCACTAAATGAACTGTTGTTAGTCAACTGTTGTTAGTCAACTGTTGGTAGTCACCTATAGTTAATGCATATAAATTCCATAATAATGTGAAAACTTTACAATCTTGTGGGACTGCATTAGCAGCTGTTCAGGGCTGCATGTGGCCTGTGGGCTGGATATGCCTGGCATAGAGTATGGTTCTCCTTAGGAATGAAGTGAAGATGTTTGTCATGCTGAGCTTATTATATGGCTTTAGCCATATCTTTAACCATCTCTTAGCTTAACACTCTTGCCATTCTGCAGTAAACATACTGAAATCCAAGGTATTATTGTAAAGCTGTTTTCACCCGTTTCCAATTTTATGTCTGTATTTATATGTATGTAATTTGTGGTCATAACTTTTACCTGGTCAAGTGCCCAGAGATCTCTGGTT